TGACAACAGCTTATGTATTATCTCATATAATTCATGGAATTAGCAGTAGATAAGCATAAAATATTGAGGATGTAATAAACTTTTGATGACCTTGTCTCGTTCTGATGTAATTACAAAATATTGAATAATAAAAATATTTAACGGGGATGGTAAATTTTTTTTAACAATAAAACAATCAAAGAATATTAAATATACAACCAAGAAATTAAAATAAATAACACCGTCGAACTTGTATGAATATTCTTAATTAAAAAAATTTGCGAAAAAATCATTAGTCTACCTGTAAAAGAGGTTATACCATCTTAGGAATCAGCAACCTTCTATTACAATAAATAAAGACCGGAAGCTTTGCAAAGTAAAAAACGGTAAAGCACAATCTCAACTAAACCCTGGTGCGTTAAAAAGCGATAAAAAATTGCACTCAATCGTACGCGATTTTGAACCTAATCTTTCAACTCTTCACAAAAAATCTTCAATCAATTGAAGGTACCAATGGTAGTTACAAAATAAATTTTGTAAAGATGAGCCAGCTGATCAACCACAACCAAAAGAACCTTAACCCTCCACTTCCAATGTCGAAAACACTAAAGTCACTCAACCTTCACAAGACCCTTTAGTCTTTTTGCTTGATTCCCAGCCTCAACCATTAACTTCAAAACAAGCCTTTAAGAGCGGGTCCAAAAGGACACGGCGTTAATTGAATCAAAGCTTTTTAATTGAATCAAAACTCTAAAAAAAAAAACTCTTGTTGCAACAATATTGTTGCATCCTGGGAGTTAATAGATGAAATCAGTTTTGAAATTAATACACCTACATCTACAAATTAAATTCTAGGTTCGTCATGACTTCCGCGTTTTGTAGAAAATCTAGATCACAGACATCTTCGTCTTCATAAAATCTATTAAAATAAATAATTTTTTTTTTGTATTAATAAATGAAACAAAGTCCTGTTCTTACTTTTTTGAATTAGTAACCTGGATTTTTGCGAATTTTCTATTAATTGCGAGAATAACAATAAGTATAACATTTAATTTCTTAATTGGATTTCTAGAGTTTATGGAAATATTAGACGATAATAGCGATCTTTGCAACAAATAGCGATTTTTTGATAAAATTGAGGTATGTTGCGAGAATAACAATAAAACGTGATTTAATCGTAATCGCTGCGATTTTTGTGCTCGTAAATCACATTTCGATTAATTAGCGGCTAATCGTAATCGAAAAAAACGCATCGCAATTATCTAAATACCGCAATCGTAAATAATCGCCCGCGATTCCTCTTCTAAAAATCGCAATCAAAATTTACCGCATAATCGCATTGCGATAACGTCGTTGCTTGAGGCCGGGGGAATAAGCAATTGCTTTTTCTCAAATTTTTATTCACATAAAGTTAAGCAATATACTCAGCAATTGCTCAGCAAGACGTGAATAAAAAACAACCAAAATTGGTTAAATTTTTATTCACGTAAAGCTGACCAATTACTGAGTTATAGCAATTGCTCATTTTTATTCACCCGGCCTTTAATCTCAACTACGTTTGGTTTCTGTGCGCATTTACATTAATTCGCATAATAGAAACCAGGTTTATTGCGTCATTAAAAAAAAAATTTAAATAAGTTAAAATTCCATAATATCGTTGGTCGGCGTAGCTAAGTGAATACTTCGTAACTTTGAAAATGAATTCACAAACCCATCCACTGGCGCGATCTGGCCTTTTTAAATTTTTTATTTTTTTTTTTCTTATTAACGATTAATGTGTATTACTAAAAGTTTATAACAATATTTCAATTTCATCCTAATTTTTTTAAAAAGTTTATCTTCTTTTTTAAAGAGCTGTACTGCATTATGATTATTATACGCGCTATCGTATCAAAACATTTTCCTAAAGTATGAAAACTTTTTAAATTTTCATCAAATAAAAAGTATTTAGCAAATAAAAAGTTTAAGAAAACGAAATTTTGAAATCGATGAAATAAATATAAATGCGACATGAAAACAATTTTGCTGCAAAGAGTTGCAAAATAAGTAAAGTTAAGTTTAAACGCGTTTGTTTTTTATAGACGCATTCCAATGACGTAATGTTTGGAAACGAAGTAATGTACTCGGGCAAACTATAATCAATGTAAACATCAAATAATAGTTTATAATTCTCTAGTACTCGAGACTAAGGAAGATTTACAAAATTATTTTACTGAAATACCAATTTTTTTTTTGAAACTAACGGAAATACAAATATTCTTGATCTCAGGTATGATGTTTGACTCTTCGCTAAATACGAGTATGGTGCAAGTTTTGTCAGTTTTTTACATACTAGTTCAATGTATTCAGTCACTGGCTCTTTATTATGTGTTAAGTTTAACCTATCTTTTGGTGTCCACTGATCAAATTCTACCTCATCGTCATCTTCAAACTCTTTAATTAAATTAAATAAAGTTTTTCAACCAATGCATTCATAGTTGCTCGGCATCTTTCACATCTACGCATCATACAGTCTTTATTGGTCATGTCACATACAATATAAAGTAACAGTTCTTTGTATGTCAAACCAAGAAGGTATAAAAGCAGTTTCAAATTCTGATGAACAGCACAGGCGCATACTGAATGTGTTCCTGAAACACCAGCAGTAATTCACCATTTTGGTCACAATGTGCAAAACTTTGAAAACCCTATTTTTATTTCTGGCTTCATGGTTTTAAAAGCAACAAACAATACCTAAGAGCAAACGTTTTTGCGTTTGAACATTTTTCTTTATGCTTACATAGTTTTTATCATCTTTATAAAAAAACTTGACCAGTTGAACTATTACATCAGGAAGAACTTTCCCTAATTTAGGATTAGGCATGGCTAAAATTCGTTTTTCTAATGCTAGTTTATATACATTTTGAGCTACATAGTTTGTTTCATGCAATGTTCCAGAAATTTTTTTTATTGACCAATCAGTTGGAGCAAGTGTTGTCAGTTGTATTTTTTTAGATGTTGCAGTAGACTCTGCAATTTTATTAGTTAACAATACCAATATCAATAACAATATCCAATAAGTTTGCTTTTTCCATATACTCATTACCGAAACTTGACTATTTTTCAAAACTTTCTTTTAGTGTATTAAGAGGACAAAAAAGTGCTAAAAAAAACATAAAAAAATCTTGAAAAAATTAAAATTAAAGTGCAAAAACAGCAACCAAACAAAAATAATATTTTTGAACATGCTTGTCTCAATAAAGTTATTTTAGATTTTTTTAACACTAAAAAAAAAAGAAGAAAAAAAAGCTTCAGTGCAATAATCTTTATGAACTTTGAAGCAAGTAAACAAATAAAATGCCAAAAAACTGAGAAAATGTGTTTTATGTTTAGTTAATTTGAAAAAGTCTTCGGGCTTCAGGATTATGTAATGCTATCTGAGGATGCTTAGGATTCTAGAAAAAATGCCGTAAAAAATATCCCGAAGGTTTTTAGAGAAAAAACTTCAGAAAAAATACAATGCATGACGTTTTTGCAGAGTTCAGGTTTAGTTAGATCACGTGATATCTTCAATGGATAAAATTTTATATTTTGTGACGTCAGCAGAAGTTTGACCTCAAGCTTTAAAATTGCTATTACCTCTAGATCAGTGACGGATCCAGCATTTTTTGGTGTTTGAGATAGCTCACTTCCAGACATGGAGCAAACTCCAAACATTTCTAAGTTTATACTTATGTCAAATAATAATGCTTTGAAAAATATATCGATGATTGGAGGCTGGGAACAAAAAAGCCCTAAAATTTCAATCTTTTATTTAGCTAATTCTATCACAATTTTGTTACAGAAGGTTTTCAGTTTGTTTTTTTGTTGCCATATTTTGTATCTTTCTGTTAAGCCTTCTAGTGACCCGCTTTCGACCGCACTTTCCAACTCTTGAAGAGTTTGTTTTAGTCACTGAAGACAGCTTTTTCTTCATCAAACAATCAAATGTTTCTGTACAAACTTGAACAAAAACATTTAGTTTTCGACAATCTTTTTCTGTTTCACTCCACTGTTTTCAAGGAAAACCGTTATTTGACATTTCTTCGTTGAGCTGAAGTCCTTTCTTTTACCGATGTTCGATTCGTCAATGATAATAAAGACAAATTCATTAGATTTTCATTGTTTAGAAATGAAAACAGAACAGATTAGACATCATTCCAACACACTGAATCAAAAACTGAATAAAAAGTCCAGATCCAGTTTTAAATGTTTTTCCATCTGCTTATGCCCTGTTTCGGGCCTCATCAATTAAAAACAAATTACGACTTTAAAATCAAAGGACAGGACTTACATAATTGATCTATAAACATATGCATTTTAAATAATAAAAGTTCAGAGTACATACATCAACTGAGGGTTACGGTTTGGGTAAGCACTTGTCCTATTAAAAAAGTTTTTTAATTCTACCCTTGCCTTTTAGTTTTTGGTTTAAAGGGAAAACATGAAAATAATAGTATATTTATATATATATATATATATATATATATATATATATATATATATATATATATATATATATATATATATATATATATATATATATATATAGCATATAAGACATATAGCATATTAAAAGCAAGGCATATTAAAATTACTATATAAAAAAAAAAGATGTAAAAATATATAAAGCAATTCACAATTTTTTTTTTATAAAGTTCGTAAACACTTCAATAAACATAACCTTTTTTTAATCAAATTTTATTGAACCAAAATACCAAGATAATACTATTCAATATATAAAACTAGCTCAAATGATTGTTTTTGCATTATCTTATTTATTTGTTAAAAGAAAAATTAAAATTATGTTTTAATTCAGAAATGAAGTTTTAAACACAACAAGTTTTAAACAAAAGTTTTTAAATACAACAAGTTTGTATAAAACTAAATGCAAATATTTTAATGTTATTTCAGATGAAAGATAAAAAAAACAAGAATAATGATAACTCTCAAAATACAGGAATATACAAAATAAATATTTTAAAAAAATGAATTAAGACAAATTTATGTGTACCTAAGGGTCATGTATTTATGCATTTTATCAAGTTCGAAACCTAAACTTCGATAAAATTTTACTAAATTATCTTTACACTCAAGTGTTATCTCAACGCATTTTAATTGTTTTCCAAGAAGAACCAATGTCTCACATAAAAGTTTACCAAGATATTTTCCGCGCTGAGAGTCATGAATAACAACATCTTCAATACGACCTATTTTAATTGGTTTAAATTGAGAAGTTAAGATATTCTCAATAAACAATGTAGCTGAGCCAACTACTTTTTGCATTTGTATATCTTCAACCACAACAATTAGATAAACATCTTTCATTTTTTTCATAGAATCAAAGCGTTCTTTAAACATTTTTTTTGTTACAATTCCAGGTTGTGTGAGCTGAGAAAGAAGGTCCATGTAACCCTTTTCATAATCGCTGCAGAGTAATGGTCGCAAAACCAAATCCTTACCAGGATAAGTATATGAAATATTATGATTAACAGTTGTAATACTTTTGCTATAATCAAGTCGTTCAAGAAGTCTTTTATCAAAAATATAATCAGCATCAGCCATGTAATCAATATTAGCCATATTTATAGCACAATTAACTTTGAAATAAGTAAATCTAAAAAAGTAATAAAACAAATAAAAAACAAAAGTTTTTGCAACCAAATGATTGCATACAGATAACAATAAAGCTGTCCAGTTAGTAAGACATACAAGAGGTAAAACAGATTGTAGAACTAAAAAACAGATTGTAGAACTGTTCAAATAAGAAAAAAACATTATCACGTAAAAGCTAATAAAAGTGATTAAATTAACTAATAATGGGTACTATTGACTCTATAATATAATATACTAAATGAAGCAGGATTGCTGAATGTCTAACTGTTATTTTTTTTTAACAAATAACATTTTAGTTAAACTTATATAATGCATTATTGATGAAATACATTTTTACCAAGATTAACACAATCAAAACCAACAACAACACTCATCTAATCTAATAAAATAATCTTGTGCAAAAGTATTTTTATTAGATGAGTCATTTTTTTCGCTCTTTTTTTAAAAATGCTTTAGAATCAGTCAATATATATTATACTTTATTTGTATTAAAAAACATTAATAAAATTGATTTGTATATAATACAACTTTACATTGTTTGTAAAGTTGTATTATATCCTTTTAAAAAACTGTAAGATTAAAAATTTATTCAATGAACAGTGAATTTTTCGTTAACTGGTTTTAACCATCATATAATTTAGATATTTTTTTTCTTTGTTTAGTTTGAGAAAAATTCGTTTTTAGTTCAAGAGAAAGTTTTTATTCAGCATCAAAAATGGTGATTAAATTAATTTTAGGTCTCTTAGCAATGTTCGGTCTGTATTACAATATCTTTTTCTCCCCCTGCCCATCATTTGTTAGGCACCTAACTGGTGTAGCTGATGTGGTAGTGGTGTAGTAGGTGTGCACTTGCTAATAAACGAAAAGTCCTAATTTTGACTCCCACCATGGTAGTACCGCACACAATTTATTTCTGTGCAGCGACCTTATTTGTTAAGAATCATGTTTCTTTGTGTTTATAACCCCATCTCAAAGAGTTAAGATAGGGTTTTAACCATAAAAAAGAAGCCTTCTTAACTTTATTGGCCCTCTCATCCTTGGAGAGGAGAATTATATTAAACAAAAATAAAGTGTTTACAAACAGAAACAAAAGGGTGTTATCTCAAACTCAAACAAAAGCGACATATAATTTTAAAAACAACTTGAAGTATCACAATTTTCTTTTTAACACAAGCATTAAAATGTCTATCCCATGACAAAAAGTTTTTTAAATTATGTGTCTATGTCATTTTCGAAACACGATATATGGCAGAAATGATCAGTTTTGTCATATATTTCAATAATTATCCACAATGTTATCAAGCTGGAGACTTTCAATATCCAAATGTTATCAAGCTGGAGACTTGTAATATCCAAATTTTCGATTTAGTATTTTTAATATTTTTTTTTCCATTATTGATACAATTTTTGAAATTTTGATTTGCAGCAGTGATTGTCGATTTGTAATTCATAATAAATCTCAAGCCAAATTGAAAAAAAAAAAAATGAAAACATTCTGTTAATAAAAAACAACACAAAATAAATTGTTCAAAAGATTTACGATCAAAAATCAAATCTGATTATTTTGCCTATTGCCCATTTGACTGAATAAAAACAAATCAGTTAATGTTAGCAAGCCCAGAAGAGGTAGATATTGAAGACTATATGCATAAAGATAAGGTATGTAGTGAAGTGTCAGTGTCCTCCAAAAGTAAGTAGTAATTATTATTTCCAAAACTAACACTTTCATTATTGAAATAATCATAAATACAGTTTAAAATACTATTACTAAAAATACTATGACTTACAATCAACTCTTTTAACTCTTAAAAATTTAATAACACAGTTGGATAAGTATGAGTAACATACTTATCCAACCTATAAACTTATTAGACTTTATAAACCACAAGAAGTAATTTATTTTTATTTTTTCACTGTATTATTAGACACAGTATTACTTAAACTAATAAGTTTTTTTTTTGTTTTGTTATTTTCAGCAGAAAGAGAATTTATAAGTAGAAACATGGAGTTAAGGGGAATTTTTATACAAAATAAAATTTAACAAAAACTCTAGTTAATCTAAATACAAGTCATTATATTATTCAGCAGGCAGACACAAAATCAGCTCAGTTAGAACTTTAAAACAAATTTAATAAGAAGGGAAGAAGCCTTTATTGCTTCAAACCTCATTTGTTTCAACCACTAGACATAGGCATAACTTTGATGCTCCTTAAAACCACAATAAAACTAAGTTTTAAACATCACGAATTTCATAAATTTGGAAACTAAAGTTAAAAGTATCTGGATAATAGAAAAATAAAAAAATTTAGGAAATTAAAGTAACTTTTAATAGAAAAAATTGATTTATTGAACATCACCTTGTCTATTTTTTATGCAAAATAGATGGCATTAAAAGTATTTGTTGAGCAAGGTCCTGAATGAAAGTGCATGACATTAATTTATATAAATCAATAATAAAGTAAAATATAAATTTTTTAAATTATAATAGTTAAATTATCTTATGTCTTGTATATTATATTCTGAATATTATTAAATTTTTATTTAGATATTTTAAAACTGTAGATAAACACATATATTTCAGAGGAGAGTGGCAAATTTGTCTCTATCCAATAATAAGTTGATTTTTTTAAAGCAGGATATACACCAGACACACACACACACACTCACACACACACACACACACACACACACACACACACACACACACACACACACACACACACACAAACTACAAAATTAAGAATATAATGTGGCACTTACCAAAGATTTAAAAAAAATATATGCTTAACAGGCTATCGCAACAGCGAAAATAATAAAAGTTTTTATGGTGTACGAGGTTGCAAACTAATTATAAATCATTAATAAATCAATTATTTTTTTATTATAAAAATACTTTTATTTAAAAAAACAATTTAAAAAGTAACAATTTTGTTGAAAACAAATTACAATTATAATAAAAATAATTTAAAAAAATAATAAAAATAACAATTTTTTTTTTGAAAACAAATTACAATTATACTAAAATAATTTAAAAAGTAATAAAAAGTAACACTTATTTTTTGATAACAAATTACAATTATAGTGAATATAAATATAAATGAAAATAATTTAAAAAGTAATAAAAAGAAACAATTTTTTTTGAAAACAAATTAAATTTATAAAAGCAAGTCACAAAAACTTGTAGTCATTAGCAAAAATTCTTTTGTTTTGTTGTAGTACGATTGCAATTGCGTCGGTCGTAAATAAAAATAACCAATGGATTATTTGCAACACTTTCTTAAGTTAAAAATTTGAGTTTTTACGTAACTCATGCGCAATTTTACGCAAACGAAGCGAAAAGTTTGTAAATACGAAATAGCATATAGTCAATAAAAGTTATACCTTAACTAATTTAAAACAAATCCGATTAGTTGTTAGATGCAAACCGAAAAACTTTTTATTTATTGGTATTTAATTTAGGCAACAAAAAATTTGAATTGAAAGTAATTTATTTATAAAGTTTACCGCCTTTTTTTTAAAATTGTTTACGCATTCTGAATGGAATAATTTGTTTTTTCAAGATGTCCGAATAAGTCCCGAGCAATGACGTATAAATTTAACTAGGTGTGTGACTTGCAGCTTTTTACGTACAACTTAGTGAAGCCAGCGTCCGCCATATTACGGTACGGCAAAAACATTATAAAAACATAGAGAATTATTTATATAAATAATAATTATTCATAAAATTTTGATTAAGGTTTTATTATTTTGATAAATTAAATTTTATTTGATTAATTAAGCATCTATAGAGAATTAATTTTCATTATATTTTCGATTTATATATATATATATATATATATATATATATATATATATATATATATATATATATATATATATATATATATATATATATATATATATATATATATATATATATATTTCCTTTGCCGCTTAATAAAATTTACAATAAAAAAGATTATCAAGAAGAAGACGTATATTGTCTTATCGCCAAACCCCATTTACATTGTCGCTTTCAGTTCATGTAACAAGTTAAAATTTAAAGTTAAAAATTTGCAGGTTGACGATTATATAGTAAAGCACAATATATTACAATTAGTAAGTCGTATAATAATATATATTTTTTTGTTAAGTTAATTATTTTTCTTTTAAATAAAATAGAAAATAGAAAATAAGAAACAAATCAAGACAGAAGTAAATAAGTAATGATGACTTTTTTCAGTTTAATTATTTTAGGTATTTATTTTAAAAAAATAGGTACTTATTTAAAAAAAAAATTTAAGATTGAAGTAATTTTCTACTAGAAATCGTTTAGATTATCTTTTGAATTGTTCTAGTGAGAAATTTAGAAGAGTTTTATTTTTAAAAATATTTTTCAAAAAAACTTTTTCATATAAATGGTCCACGGTATTGAATTTGAAACGAGCTAAGTTTTAAATAAGGTCTTAGAACAACAAAATTATTAGTTGAATACTTTGTGGGGTATTTATGAGTAATTTCGGTGAAATAAGAGTGAAATATATTAGGAGATAAACCATGTTTTGTCTTAAACATTAGAAGCATAACTTGGTATATGTTAAGTTTATAAACATTGAGTACATTAAGTTCCATTAAAAGAGATTCACCATTAACAGTTCTGTTAACACCAAATATAATTCTACTTGCATGTTTTTGTTTCCTTTAGATTTTTTTAAGCTTCCAATAATTAGTACTTTCCCATGGATTATTGCAATAGGAAAGAAACTATGAACAAATGAAAAATATATAATTTATAAAGGCTCAATATTAAGAAATAGTTTAACTTTATATAACATTGCGATATTTATGGAGATTTTGTTTTCAATAGATTTAATATGATATTTCCATGATATATTTTCATCTATAATCACTCTTAGAAAGTTAAACGTTGACTCTCTTTTATTAGGTGTTTTATTCATAAAGAGATTGGGTAATTTTAGAAAGAAAGGTTATCTTCCCTATTACGTTTGTGTAATAAGATAAATTTAGTTTTCTCAACATTTAATGAAAGTTTATTAATTATAATCCAGTCATTTATTTTTAATAACTCTTCGTTTGATATTCTAAACAGATCTTTTATATTACTATTTGAATAAAAAAATTCGAATCATCAGCAAATAAAATAACATTCAAAATTTTGGATACTAAATATAAATCATTTATATAGAGTAGGAATAATAGCAAGGCTAAGATTGATCCCTGGGGAACACCACAAGTTATAATATGTTTTTCTGTTTCATTTGCTGAAAATATTATATATTGTTTTCTGTTTGACAGGTAACTTTTAAACCATAGTAAGTTATTATTTAGTATTCCATATAGTTCTAGTTTTTTTTATAAGAATATCATGGTCAACAGTGTCAAATGCTTTTGACAAATCAATAAAAACTCCTAATATATAACAATCATTATTGAATCCATTGGATATATAATTAATAGCTTGACTAGCGCATGATCCATTGAATGATTCTTTTTGCATCCAAATTGTTTATTGTACATTATATTGCTCTCAGTTAAATAACTATTAAGTCTATAATACATAATTCGTTCTAACAATTTTGAGAAGCATGGTAAGGCAGAAATAGGTCTATAATTTGACATATTTGTGTCATCGCCAGATTTAAAAATAGGTATGATCTTAGCAATTTTTTAATTTTCTGGCACAATTCCGGATTTTAGTGACATATTAAAAATGTAAAACAGTGACGGTTTAAAAATATTAAAGCTTTAACAAAATTCACGCTAATTTGATCTATGTCAGCACATTTATTATTTTTTAGACAGTTAAAGGCATTTGGGTCATTCCACGGCAAACGGTCCAATTTCCGAAATCTTTCCCGCTCGACCATCTCCGATTTTAATAAAATTTTGTCAGTATGTTGTTTGTTTCATGAACATGTTTCATAAACATTGCCAAATTTTTAGATCAAAATATTTTTTATTTTGGGTTTTGTGGTACTTTTTGTAAGGCTTACCCAAACTTCAATATCAGTCTGTAGCTAAAAACTGCATTTTTGGGGTCTTATATTTTAGTAATGAACGGGTAAAATATCTTAAAAGCATGGTTTCTTAGTAAACCGAAAGTGGAGATAACAAAAAAATTAATACAAATTTTATATGATGCCTATATATTAGTCTATGGTTCACCAAATACCGTCACAAATTTAACACCATAAATTTTTTCTGTTTTTTGCAGGGTCATATCTCCAGAACAAAAGGTTTTTCAGTATTTTTTTTTTGTCTAAAGGTTATATGTACTATCATAATGATATGGATTAAAAATCAGCTTTTTTATAACCGTCTTTTTTGAGTTATTTTGAAAGCAATATAGAGACAAAAGTAAAATACCCTAAAATAACAAAAAATATTATATAATTTTATAATATATTATAAAGTTAATGAACTCAAAAAAAAACGTGATCCACCAATTTATATCAAGTGATTCGAACAAATATATAAAGTGATCTGCATAATATTTTGCTTATTTGGATCAAACTCTATAAATTTTAATGATTCTCCTACTAAATGACAACGTCATTTTATCAAATGACAATGTCCGCGAAATTTTATAAAGTGATCCGCCTAGTATTTTGATTGTTTGAATCAAACTCTATAAGTTTTAATGATTGTTCTACCTAAAAACAACGTGATCCGCCATTTATATCAAGTGATCCACCAATTAATATCAAGTCATCCGCGTAATGTTTTGATTGTTTAAATCAAATTGTTTTAATTCTATTTTAATAATTGCTCAACTAAATAACGACGTGATCCGCCAAATTTTATAATGCGGTTCGCCTAATATTTAAATGAAATGATCCGCCAAGATATATCAAGTGATCCGCCTAATATTTGCTTGTATGGATCAAGCTCTACAAATTTTAATGATTGTTTTGTTAAAAAACAACGTGATCCGCCAAATTTTAAACTATAAAAAGTACCGTGTTACTTGAGTGATCCGCTCTGCTGATCCGCCCCGCCCCGCCGATTGTACCGACTCCAAAAACATCTAATATTGTAAGACGAAAATTAGAATTGAAGTTAGAATAAGAGTTATTTTAAATTTATCCTGACATGTCTGTTGAACAAAACTTAAATACTTGTTGTATTGGAAAATTTGACGGAAGTTTATGTCATTTAAGTACTTACTCACAAAAAAAGGGTTTTATTGATTTTTGTTTAGAACTTTCGAACGAAGAACAGAGTTTAATTATCAGACGAATTTATAATTTGATTAAAAATATTACTTTAATTTGTTTCCACCACAAGTCACTCCTGTTGGTTAAATTCATTTTTACTCATTTGCAGCGCTATTGTTTTAACCCTTTTGGTATGGCCAATCCTTGCTCAGTTAAAGGGTTGAGATGTATTGACCTAGAGACTGCAGACTGTCTTTCAAAGTTAACAAATAAAGTTATTTGTCCAGGTCAAAAATTGTGTCCAAATTGTAGCAAAGTTTATTCAACCACAAAGTCTTTAAGTAAAAAAGTTGACAATATTGATTACATAGATGGTATATTCTGTTCAACTAACACAACTAATAATAGTCTTTCTGAGATCGGAATATCACTTTTAAGAAAACGTGTTAGAAAGAGAGATCATGCTAGTTATGTAAAAGGTAAAATTAAGGTAAAATTCAGAAAGTGCAAATAACAGTTGCAAAAAATATTGCTTTATTATTTGATTTATCCCGAAATAATAATGGCCTACCACTAGGCAGCACAAGTGTAGAGTGTGAGAATTACACTGACTGGTTAGATTTGATAC